CTGCCACATGCACTCGATTGCAGGGCTGCATTAGTTTATACATTTTTTCGTCTAATAACTTGTTCGTTGTCACCTGCTTACTCCTCAGCAAGGGCACTCGTCTTGCATTACCGCTCCAAATCGAATGTTATTCATTATATATGAGAACTAAATAAATGAAAATTCCTCATATTATTGGTCTAGAGAATAATTCACTGGAACATATATGATCACTCTGTTAAAATTATTTCCTAATATGGTTTTAATTTTCAGGTTGGGAGCTTCCAGTGTGTTACTTTCTTTCTCCGAGGCACTGCGGCGGCGAAGACGTTCAAAGCGGGGTTCTCCGTTTATATGGCAACTTGATGAGACTAGCAGCCTAGTGGCTAGCCGCTGGGAAAGCGGACTTCTATGGGAGGTATCGAAGCATGTGTTTGAGAATTAGAATTTCCTACTGACTACATTTTGATCTTCAGTAGTGATTAGTATGTAGAATCGGAGTTTTCTGCTGTCTCTGGTAATGATTGACAATATTCCCGGGCAAAGTTTTGTTATTAGGTTTTCCTTCCAATTTTGACACAATGCGGCATTTATGGGAGGTATCGAAGCATGTGTTTGAGAATTAGAATTTCCTACTGACTACATTTTGATCTTCAGTAGTGATTAGTATGTGGAATCGGAGTTTTCTGCTATCTCTGGTAATGATTGACAATATTCCCGGGCAAAGTTTTGTTATTAGGTTTTCCTTCCAATTTTGACACAATGCGGCATTTGCTAAATTTCGGCATGCCATTTTCGGTTCAGAGCAAGTTTTGTTTTCACTTATATAGGTTGTAAGCAGTGGTGGGCACAGTCCGCTATCCGCTAATTAGCGGAGCTGACGTTGTCCTTAGCCAGTGTGCCACACTGATGGCCGGCTACGTCAACATATATACTTAAATCAATAACGTCTTGTGTAACAAAAGATGTGAGAGGTTACACAAGACGTGATTGGTTGATGTACATAATATGTTGACGTAGTCAGCCGTCAGGGTGGCATACCGGCCAAGGAAAACGTCAGCTTCGCAAATAGGCGGTTAGTGGATTAGCGGACTGCGTTTGCGGTTAGCTGTTCGTAGCTCTGGTCTGTAGGCAATGTCTGGTCTTTAGGCTGTTGCCTTCTACAGACATTCTTTGAATTGCGTTTATAACGTATAAATGCCGCATGTGGTGTAGCAAGAACGACTAATACTCGTGCTTAGCACCTTGAAGGCATCTCACCCCGCAATTCTATGCACGTTCGTGTGGGTTCTTTCCTTAGTATCCTTAGTATTTGTTTGGCACATAGCAGTCCCTGGCCACGATGGATCGCCGCCCCTGATTATCGTTCATCCGCCCTCATTTGGGCCACCTGATGCACGATGCTGTTGCTTGCTTCTCGCCACTGGTTCTTGCTTCTTGCTCGCTTCTCTCACTGGTTCCTTAAGGCATGCTTTGTTATTATGAACTGGAATGCGTAGCGTTGCTAACAATAGGCCAATTCTTGTGCAGGTTTCATGGCTCTCAAATGAAATATATTTGCAATGCTTTTTGGATCCTGTCATCCCTATGGCCAAATTGGTCTTAATATTTCCGGCACTCCTAGTAAACTCTCACTGCGCATTGATCTTTGGTAGAGTGCGGGAAATCAGGATTTTGGTTGTGGTTTGTGTGACCATCCATGTGTTGAATGCGTGTAATCAAGTTTGAAATGACTAAAGGATTTTTATTGGTTTTACGTTTGTCGTGTTGTATATAAATATGCTGTTTCCTTAGCGGTGTGAAGTAGTGATGCCAAGCAGGAGTGCTGTTACTTCAGCTGTGTGAAGTAGTGATGCCAAGCACCAGTTCTGTTACTTTAGCTGTGTGATGTGTTGATGCCAAGCAGGAGTGCTGTTACTTCAGCTGTGTGAAGTAGTGATGCCAAGCACCAGTTCTGTTACTTTAGCTGTGTGATGTGTTGATGCCATGCACGAGGGCTGTTACTTCAGCTGTGTGAAGTGGTAAAGCCCAGCACCAATGCTGTTTCTACAGCTGTATCAAGAAATTCTTTCGATTTTTAGCAGCTCAGAATCCACTATTTTGCTCGATAAAATAACTGTTCAGGCGAAGAGCCACCCGCAATCAAATCTGTCGTTGTCACAATGAAGAATGAAGTTCCCATAATTAGAATTTTATTTTAGCCGAGGATATAAAACCGGTGCTTCCTAAATTGACCAGATTTAAATGATGTGTTCTTCAATAATATCAATTATTTTAAAATTTACTGCACTCCAAACCCAGCCGATGCTCAAAATCGGATCTTGTTAAAGGATTGGTTAGACGTCTCGAGTTTAATCTGTGTGTGTGCGTGATACTGAAGAAATTGAATGCCCACATTGAAATTACGAAATTTATCTAACAAGCTTCTATTATAGCTTCGATCGCTATCTGAATTCTCGACCCTGCAGTGCCCAGTTGTGGGGCTAAACACTCCATCATAATTGAGTCATCTTTGCGGTAATAATGGGGGATCAGGCGGGGCATTACTTACGTATACTCATGCTTTGTCCGCCACCTTGTCATTTATTCGAGTCATTACTGTACTAATATTCCAATCTCCTGTAAGTTTTCTAAGTTATTGCTTTCGGTCTAAGATTTGATGCACCACCCCAGTATATGTGTTGCATTCAAACATTGTTTCTATCGCCTACTTTAACATTAAGCTGCTCAAATAGGCTGTGGTTTCAACCTCAACTGGGCGTTGATCTTGTCACTTCACTTCAACACGGACACCTAACTTTTCCAGATGAAGAACAATGATCGTGACACTGAAAAACCTATAAAAAACAACCGCGTTAGCACCTAGCGTTGTTCGGGTTACACGTCACTTAAGCGCTATACTATATGATAGAGTTGAAGTTAGATGTTCACGCGCACCTGTACAATGACGAAATCCTCAAATCCTCATGCCAGTTTTAGTGCTCAAAACCATCCTTTATGAATTTTAAGCGTAAAAGAAAGCGGAAAATATTTGTTTTGTGAGAATAAAATAAATGAAATGAATGTTTAGTGGCCCGCTTAAGCCCATGAATTCCTCAAAGTTTTTGCTATTTGCGCTATAACTCTGCAGACACATTTTAAATCAATTAAAATTGATTAAAAAGATCAACAATTTTGTATGAAAACCAATGTCAAGTTCTACGAAAACCAAAAGGGACAGATGGAATATTATAAATAGAGCCCAAAATATAAAGCTAAACAAAATAATTTATCAGCTGAATGAGCTGAAAATTTTCAGGGAATGTCATTATTTTCTGGCCAGGCCTGAGAGCTCTGGATCATAAATACACAATTACTTCGTAATTGACAAAGAATAGGCTACATTTACAAGAACAGGCACTCCGTTTTCTCCCGAAAAACGTACTAGCGTTTAATTTATCAGGGAGGAACCGGTTACTGCAACGCCAGTGAGATCGTTTTTACGGTAGTTTTTCGAACAGTAAAAACAGCAATAAATATTTTACACGAACGACGCGGCGGTTAGTGTGACACAGCAACTGTTAACAGTTACATCACATAATCTTCTTAAGTAAATGAAAATAAAATGTATAAAAAAATTTTAAAGACCACGTTTTTCATGTGGACTCAAAAGTAGAAAATAATTTTACGGCAGCTATACTGATCTCTGTTTGCTTTCATTCTCCTGGTCTTTTGTATTTCAGTTAAAATATTTTACAACATCTAAAACAAAAAACGTGGGGCGCATCTTCATTTAGGCATGCCTTAATTTCATGTAAAAAAGAGAACTAAATGAGGACATATTTTCCTTGAAAATTAACTCTATGGCACGCTTTTGAAAACAAAATGAGGAATTGTAAATCGAGATGTAAGAGACTGTATTAGCGAGCGCTCAGCTTGTTGGTATAAGAAGAATAATAAATTTAACATTTTGCCTAATAAATTTAACATTATGGTTACCTGAATAATGCAATAAGCAGATGACCTGCTTAGAAATGATTAAGGATCAGAATATGAGAACTATTCTGTTAGATCTTTAAAAGAATTTATATCTAAGCTATTTTATATATTTCATGAAATATTGAGCTTCATTACAGATTCGACTGGGTTAAGTAATTTTTTTGAAATATCTAGTTGAAATTGAATTATAAATTTGTTATTAAATTATAAAATTCATTTGAACACAATTTGCCAACAAACATAATGTTGATTTCATATTTGGATTCGTTGATGGTCAATTTAATATGATAATTCGTTGAAATTTTAACAGTGAGATTTTTGGAGTATAACTCAATCTAACACTAAGAGAAAGTGAAAATGCTGATGTCTTGAACAAGACTACTGAGAAAGATAAGACTCATCAAGATACAGTTGTCAATGGAAAATTCTGTCAGGCGTCTCAGCATATTCATATTAGAAGATAAGAGAATATACTTATGCTAATAGATTTGAAAGATGGATTCAATATCCGCTAAAAGCTTAAGAGACTAAGTTCTTATGAGACTTATTCGGTATAGTTAAAATCACGTCAGCGAGATCGATCTTGAATCTTGCCGCTTTAATATACGAAAAAAATAGAAAACTGTTATTTGTCCATCTTTTGGACCTAAAACTCGTACACGTGATGAGAATTCCTCTATCAGGACATAAACAATATGTTAAAGATTTGTTAATAGCAATTGTTTCTGCTTTTATAAAAATATCAAGTGTTATAAAATTTGTATTGTTTTGTGGCAGGTGATTCAGAGTTCATCAACAAGAATGTAAAATTGATATTGTTTAATAATTTAACTTTACGGATGCTGGATTATTAAATTCCAATAATGGGGTTAGAACACGCGCCTATCATTAATGAATAATGAGACAGATGATGGTTACATTAGTGCACTCACTAAATTACTCTGGAGATAAGCTTATCAGTCCTGCAGTGTTCGATAGATGCTTCAAATCAAGGCCATACCTTCTACCTAATGCGTATCTAGCTCATTAACACTCATAGCGGAGTGAACACCACAGCTTCATTAATACTCCTAGCAGCACGGTGTGTACACCTCAGGCTCATTAATTAACACTCCTGCATCACAGTGCGTGCACCACAGCTTCATTAACCCTCCTGTATCACGGTGAGCCTATAGTTTTACCCCCGTTATCCCTCCTACATCACGGTGCGTCTAGTACCATCCTCATTAGCCTACAGTGGGTAAATCCTTTCCTTCATGATTTCAGTTTTCATGACTTAATGATTATCAGCTTTCTTCGTTCCATAATATAATACTGATTGTAAGCCTACTTTATTCCATAAAATATTGATGATAATAAACATATATCGTACCCTAATCATCACGATACTACATCTCATGAATTCATATAAATTTTCATGATTATTTTCATGAGTATTATTCTGCTGCAATTCATATATAAGTTCAATAAAAGGATATTTATTCTATACCTGCACATTCAGCAAGTTGATGTTGAGATTAAGAACAGTGCTTCGGAACTTAAATGCCTCCGATTTTTACACTCTTCAATATTAGAAGTCGCGTAGTTGTTATCATTTGCCAAAACTTTGTAGCCAAGCATTTATGACATTTCAAGTGAATTAGAATATGTGATGTACGTGCAGCGTCAATTTATTTATCAAGGATTTAATATTTATTAGTTGAAGGAAACATCTGACATTTAAAATTTTTCCAGCGGAAAACACAATTCGAAATTTTGAGGAGGCAAGATGGCGGCTGAAGTGGTGAACGGAACCCACGTGAAGCTCAACGATGGCAACCTCATGCCACTGTTGGGCCTCGGTACATGGCAGGTATTTGAAATAAATTGAACAATAACAACTAATTAGATACTTGAATCTTACTTGTGATACTTGTTACTTATGATACTTGAATTTTACTTGTGATACTTGTTACTTATGATACTTGAATCTTACTTGTCCGTGATTTTACATGTGACTAACTTCTTAAAGTCAGTGATCGATTGTCAAAAAATCGCTACGGACAGACTGCGCCAGAAATTTTTTCATATAATCATCTCATTACAGAGATTACGATTCTTTATTAAACTCTGACCTGTAATCCACTGATTCACCCGTACCATAGAGACAACAATCTATTAATTATAGATCCATTACCGGTTACGAAAAATTCTATATAGTTTCCTTCAAAGCAATGAACCGTCACAAATCGCGCTCGCAGCGAAGTCAATAATATTTAAGGGCGAGGAATCTAATGATGTGAACGTAACAGGAGGCTTGCCTAACATTGCGCTAGTACTTTTTTGATGGAACTGAAGGACCGTGCGCGAATTTTCATTTGTGTTGGTGCACGGACCCTTGATTACAATATGGACGTATTAGCACAACTGGCGTCAAGAGTGTAACCGACAGTCTAGTATGTTACACGGATGGTCGAGTACACGAAGGATGTGATTGCGCCAACCCCAACTATAGCGAGCCTCTCGCAGACTCTCTATCATGCCCTAATTTTTGTTAGGGCTATGGGTGTACATGCCCGTGTACGCAGATCGAGTTGCAGATCGAGAGCTCAACTTTTTGACTCGATCATCATCATTAATTAACTGTAAATAATAATTACCACACCACGTACCTACTGCAGGCAGCGCATGAGTCAGTGACAGAGGCGGTAAGGCGGGCGCTGGAGGCGGGCTACCGCCACATTGACACGGCGTACTCATACATGAATGAGGAGGCCGTGGGTGAAGGCATCCGTCGCTGGGGGGGAGACAGGCAAGAAGTCTTCGTCACTACTAAGGTTACACCATGCAAATTTATTTGTGTAGCATTCGATAATTAACTTATTTTTTCTAGCAATTACATTTGTAGAAAAATATACGTATGGGGTATTAACACAGTACGGCGTGGTCACTCAACGGTGGGTGGTGCTGAATTGCACCAAACTTCTATTCATGAAGGTAGTCACCATCACTTGTGTCAGGAAAATATAAAACAAAAATTAGCGTACCAATTAAGCCCTGAGACATGTTAGTTGTTCATAAGCATTGCATTTACACTGATAACTTGTCTAATGATATTTTTTGTTAAAACTGTTATTTTCAGAGTAAAGGGAACTTGACAGCCGTAGTATCATTTGTCTATCAAATGATAACCGCATTTTGCTTGTGTTTATTTTTACTGTTCAGTTTGTCGTATTTCATATGTTCCATATCACACATCTCTAATTTAAGAGAGGTGTTATATTTCCAACTAATATACAATTTCTTCACTATCAAACTCTATCGTATACGTACAAATATAAGAATTTTTATCCATCAGCTGCCGCTCATTGCCATGGGAGGTGGACGGGTTGAAAAGTTTTTACGGAAATCTCTGAAGAAACTCGAGCTGGAATATGTGGACCTCTTCTATAATCGTTAATTACAAAAGATAATCATTACCCTCCACCTGCAGCAGTAATAATCATTAATTAACTGTAAATAATAATTACACCCCCTCCCGCAGGCAGCTCACGAGTCAGTGACAGAGGCGGTGCGGCGGGCGCTGGAGACAGGCTACCGACACATTGACACGGCGTACTCGTACCTTAATGAGGAGGCCGTTGGAGAAGGCATCCGTCGCTGGGGGGGAGACAGGCGAGAAGTCTTCGTCACTACTAAGGTTACACCATGTAAATTTAGTTGTAAAACGTTCGATAATTAATTTATTCCATTGTTTTTACCCTAACAATTACATTTGCATAAAAGTACATATGGTTAATTCAAACAATACGACGTTGTCTCTCAACGATGGGAAGCGCAGAATTTACAGTGATAATTTGTCTACTGTTTATTTTTGATGAAGAACTGTTATTTTGAGAGAAAAAGGAACTTGAAAGAAAGCCGTAGTATCATTTGTCTATCAAATGATAAATGCATTTTGCTTGTGTTTATTTTTACTGTTCAGTTTGCAGTATTTCATATCTTCCATATCACATCTCTGATTTAAAAGAGGTGTGACATTTCCCACTTATATACAATTTCTTCACTATCAAATTCTATCGTTTGCGTACGAATAAAGATTTTTATCCACCAGCTGCCGCTCATTGCCATGGGAGGTGGAAGGGTTGAAAAGTTTTTACGGAAATCTCTGAAGAAACTCGAGCTGGAATATGTGGACCTCTTCCTGCTGCACTGTCCCTTTGGACTCCTGGTGAGTCGAACGCTTGACATAATTGTGCTATGTGCATCACTTTTAGCGTCAAACATGAATACGTACTATGCATTTTACACGTACCTCTTAGGCTTACTACGGGGACTGAAGGCCTTCAATCAAATTCAACAATCATCATGATGGCATTTCGCGACAAATAACGATTAGACTCGCATTTTCTGAAATGCTTGTTTCTGATTTAACTTTGTGGTATAGTACAGAGACGACGATACGCTGCATCCCCTTGACGCAGACGGCAACTTGGTGGTGGACTACGCCACGGACCACGTGGCGCTATGGAAGGTGGGCAAAATACGCTAAGAGAAATGAGTGAGACTTTGTCTAAACGGTGATGAACTTTTGGCCCTTATTCACTGACCCAGTTTATACCGGCGCAAAGGCCATCAGTGCTACATCCGCGCTCTGCTTGTGTTATGGGAAGAAAGTGTGTCACTATTCCGACAATATATGACTAATTTACTTCTCTAAGTTTATACTTCTTGAATTAAATTTGTGAAGGAACATCATTCTGCACTAACTATTTCATGTAGCGCATATAGAAATAATTTGAACGTGGTACTTTACAATACTTCTAATTAACGCGAAACTTGCACACATGTCCAAATAATCATGGGCATTCAAATCATTTGAAGTTTAAGGAAAATGATTCTTTTTTCACTGTGATCATTTTTGTGAGCATTTTTAGAATAAATCATTACATATAATCACTGGGACGCACTGATTACGATAGTCGCGTTTCATGCACTGATATGAACACTAATTTCAAGTATAGGATTTTAAGTGGAGATTTTTGCACCAATTACTTCTGTCGTGCAGTTGATGCAAGAATCTCCATCTCAAGTGAAAAATTTTGGAAATACAGGTTCCATTGACGAGCTCATGAGATATTTAATTTGTATCGCAATTTGAACTTGTTTGTTGAACGTTATTATCTTAATAATTGTTATTAAATATCTCATAACTCATGTGTATAATGATATCGCTCATTAATTGGCGCTCGCATGTGTACGTCTGAAGGAAATGGAGGCCGTGCGGGACCTGGGACTCGCCAAGAGTATCGGCGTTTCTAATTTCGGGACCGCGCAACTTCGACGACTTTTTGCAATCGCAAAAATACCGCCAGCTGTCAACCAGGTATGTTCTTATCCAGAGGATCTTGGTACTTAGAAACGAAATGCATCAAATATACGTTCATTTTAACAACCATTTGTTTACAGGCGCAACAGACTTCCGACTGTTAACATCCAATTTAATGCTCACTTAAGAAAACAGAACTAAGTCTGTGAACAGCAACTGGGTATCAGTTTTTATAAAGCAGTCATTCGTCTGTAAACAATAACTGCTCACACAAGAGAACAGACCTGCGTCTTTAACAGCAGCTACACTGACGAGAGAACAGGTCATTGTCTGTAAACATCTCCTGAATATCCACTCCCTCGCGCAGCTGGAGATGCACGCCGAGTTCCAGCAGCCGGACATGGTGGAGTACAGCCGCCAGACCGGACTTGTGCTCACCAGCTACGCCACCCTCGGCTCTCCTGGCAGGAAGGGCACGCCCTTTGGGTACGAAAATTCCTACCAAAACTTTTATCATATTATTGTGATGTGTAAAATATCCCACTTCAAACTCTGTGTGTTTCCTGAAACAATTGACTCATTTGATGTTTATTCGTTGACGGTTCGTTGTCACCTCTGTTTTTTTATTAAACTAGTTAATATTTATGGTGATTATTTTATAGAATGTGTTTTTTTTCGGGAAAAATCGTAATGGACGAAGAACGGACATGTAGGTTCTTTTTATCGAACACCTTTTCTTTGTCATGGAGTGAATTAAATCATTACTTAAATTAGTTTACCGAAAACGATTGCATTATCATATAAATTTTTCTTCCATAATAAATTCCTTCAAATATATATGTACATCTAGTCTAAATCGTAGAAAAGTAAACGACAGTTCAAAAGTTATGAGCCATCAATACCTGAATTTTATAAACATCTTGTGAGCTATCATTAAAATTGTTCTTCTACCGGAATTTCAAGTAAGTATGAGATACAAAAAAAGATTATTATATTTAAATTTTCAAATTTCATCTTAATCATTTACATAATATTCAACCAGTTTTCTAATGCGATTTGAATTATTTTTAAACTTCGTGACCCAGTGTAGGGATCGTAATCCCATCACTGCTAGACCATCCCGTGGTGCGCGTGATCTCGGAGCTGACGAACAAGACCTCTACCAGAATTTCAAGTAAGTTTGACATACAAAGAAGCCTAATATCTATAAATTTGTATACCTCATATTAATAATTTACAAGCTTCTACTAGTTTTCTAATGCGATATGAATTATTTTACTTTTACTTTGGATTATTTATTACTTTTCTAATGCGATATTGTAGCGGGGAACCGCTAACATGTACTGACTGCGATCGAAAGTCTACTGTGCATTGCATTGTAATTTGGCTAGCAATATAAGGTGCACAATGAAAGAATCTGAATTACAATATGAATTATTCAATAAAATATGAATTATTACAATATGAATTATTTCTAATCCCCGTGTCATAGTGTGGGGATCGTAATCCCATCACTGCTGGACCATCCTGTGGTGCGCGTGATCTCGGAGCTGACGAACAAGACCCCAGCTCAGGTGTTGCTGAGGTACTTTGTGCAGCAGGGCATCGTTGTCATACCCAAGTCTGTTACCCCTGCGAGGATTACTGAGAACGCCCAGGTGAGATGAATGCTTTTAGTAGCAAGAACAATGTGATATTTTAGAGTTAGATAATACATAGAATTATAAGAAATAAATTTTTTAGAAGAAAATTAACTTCATTTTTTCATTCATTCAATATTTTATGGTGTATCAGAATAATAATTAAGCAATACAAATAATTGTGCAGGTGTTTGGCTGGCAGTTGCCAGCGTCGGCCATGGACGCACTGCGTACGCTCGACCGTGGAGAAGAAGCGCGCTCGTTCATGTTGCTCAGGACCCGAGGGTGAGTGATGTACTTTTTGCCCCTAAGTGGGTCATCCTGACACAGCTTGCCTCCTCAAAACGGTGCATCATGCAGTGTTACGTGCGCTCTCTGTTCACGCTGTGGGTAAGAAATTATGGCATTATTTTGACAATGACATATATAAATTTTTCAGAGTGCATATATGGGTGCTGGTGTAGGTGAAGTAAGTGACGTCCGGGTACGGTTGTAGGTGCAGTATGGTACGTATGGGTGTAGTCAGTACACTTGGGTTCTGAAATGGGTATAGTAATGTTAGCATTTTAAGTGTTTGTAGTACGCTACCCATGCATGGGTGCTACCATCTCCTTAGCATTCTAAGAGTGTGTGCTGGCATTCACAACGAACAATGTGGAGTTTAGGTTTAAGCAGAGTGCCAATAATTTAAGATTACTTCATTTGTTATTTATTTCGTTAGTTAGTTTGAATTGACGTTAATCTATTTCTATTTACTCCCAGTTTCGAGCTTCACGCTGAGTGTCCAGTGACCATAACAACAAGCAATAGCTGAACGCCTTCGTACGCTGCAATGCATGGGCTCTTGGTAATTTTCCTCCGCTGCAGAATGGCGTAGTGCTCCTTCACGCAACCATCAATAAATAATATATTGGGAAGACAATCATGCATGCACCAACTGATGCCACATAATCATGCGAAATAACTTCTGTTGTACATTAGAAAAAATATTCATTTAATGCAATTGGAAGGTCCAGCTGCTTAAAATATCAAGTTAAATCAATCGCCTCCACAGAAGGGTTAGGGTGCGAGTCCGAACTTTTTCTGGGGCCATACTTTCAAAACTCGCTAAGTGAACGTAAGTATTTATGATCTATTTTCTTGTCTATGATTCGTGGATTTTGCTTGAAAGGCCGTCAATGATTGGCTGATGAACTTACGATCTCTTAACTTTTTTTGAAAGTATAGGCCCCGATATTCATTTTTTTGGAGCCGATGAAGACGTAAACCTCAAGGCAGATCTCGAAAGTTAAGACATGATGCGAACAGGAAACTTTTCTAAGATGCCTGAGCTGGATTATAATTCCTCGCAAGTATAGTTAAACATTCAGAATAATAAGTGCTGAAATTTGAACGTTTCTTTTGTATTGTTGGTTGGTGTCTTCTAAGGAATAAATGATATTTCAAATGAGGGTTTTCTACCTTATTTCTAGCTACACCGTTAGATAAATAACAAAATTGTACCAATATAGTTGAGAAATAATACACGGGCCCATACTTCGTCTTCTTTATTATCACAATGGACAATTAAATGCTGCACAATTGCATAAATTATCAATGCGTTGATTAAATTTCTTGGTGACAACCATCAAAATTCTGAAGAAAAGTCATTCACCAAAATACCCCATTATATCTGAATTAATCTACCAATACCATTTACATCTTTAAACTATAATTTCGGGATAAAAAATAATTTTATAGTGAGGTTGTAAACTGAAGGTTGCTGATTTTCAATATGAAGCAATGTTGCATTTCAGTCCTAAAATCGTTTAAACGAAGACAGCATTAATGAAAGCGAAAGATTTTTTCATTTATCGGTTGGTTAAAGGACATTTCTCAAAAGTTTATAATACAGTTAAGGATGCGTCAAATAAAATGCAACTGCAAAATGATCTTGATAGTTTAGTTAATTGGGCTGATACGTGGCAGCTGCGTTTCAATGCTGACAAGTGCAAAGTACTTCACCTCGGCAAGAACAATGAACAGCAAGCTTACAGCATGAGAAAACACGGTTGCTTAACGAGAGGGTTATGATTGATAAATCTTGCGTGGAAAAAGATCTTGGAGTTTGTGTCGACAAGGAGCTGAAATTTTATAGGCATATTGAAACGCAAGTTAATACATCCAATAAACTGCTTGGGCTGATCAGACGCTCCTACGAGTTCCTAGATATAGAATTGATGAAGCTGTTGTTCACCTCTGTCGTGCGCCCGAACCTAGAGTTTGGAAACGTTGTGTGGTCACCGAGACTTGAAAAGAACAGAAATTTAGTTGAGAGTGTTCAAAGACGTGCAACAAGGACAATTCCAGGATTAAAGGGCAAGTCTTATGAAGAAAGATTGAAGATTATGAAGCTTCTGATCTGATCAAAAGGCCAGTCTAGTCAAGAAAAGCACAAGAATCGGCGACAGGCCTATCCAGGCCTACTCTTTAATGCCGAAGATACTATACTATCCTATACTAAAACAATGTAACCGGATTGGTTTGCTTCAGGCCAGCGAATGATTGTTCGATATATCCCGAAGAAAATATTTATATACCTTTTAACTTTACTCGCTGCTTTGAAGTTAATTCTGTCGATAAATAGACGATTATTCGAATTATTGTAATCTTATATTCAGTTACTTGAGTATAGATAAAATAAAATTCATTCGTTTGTGAAATGAACTACATTAATTTCGAGTTAATTTAATGCAATGCGCTTCCTTTGGTTCTCTGTTACAATGGCATTAGTTATTAGATTAAAAATTAACCGAATTTTCTAATAAAATTCGAATTAAAAATTAACCGAAAAATGTCTCAGTAATACCCAATAACGGAAAAGAAGTTATCAGGCACCATGCGCACGCTTTACCTTCAGTCTGAATCAGTCATTGATAGAGTATAGGCTGAGGTAGGTGACGGGGTCTCGCTTGCATGGATACGCAATAAAGGCGAACTCTGGTTGTGTGGCATTTACGTTCATGAACGTTTTTAATACTGCATGTAAGGGAAATATATTGAATTATCGTTGCTCAATTTAACGTCTCTGACAAATTACGGCCGGAGACGTCTCATTTTGGTCCACCTTGTGATCGTGGAAATAGTCAGTCAAATCGATGTTCTGTAACTGGTCCTGTGATTTAAATTTACGTCACTTAGACCCATACGTGAGCATTCTAATCATGGCCAATAGTTTTTACATGGAATTACCATAGGAGAAGTGAAAACTTCACCGTTTTATTCAATTTGGGTAACAATGAATTAATGCAGATGAGGTCTATTTTAGATAAATCTGTACTTATACTCTGATTTATGCTTATTTAAATAATTATATCGGGCTATGTTTCATGAACAATGTATTTCTGATTAAGACTGCGTTGAACTCTGTTAGATTTTTGCAAGGAAGAAGTTGGAACTAGGGTCAAGATTGTGCAGTTGTGATGAATGGTAATTTTATTAAACGTTTCTATTGATTATTTCCTTAATGGGAAATATGTTCACCAATCGGAAATGCATTTAAGAAATTTACGAATATCTAAGTGAACTGGTTTGGCATGAAATTTGATGTGAATCTAATAGTTTGGAATTGTGTGCTGCCGAACTACTTGGGTTTCATTTTCAGTTTTTTTTTCTCCAGAAGAGCTATGTCTGCTTCTTGTTTGCATGGGTGTGGATGTATTAGTTTAGTAATTTATTGCTGCGGCCGTTTGTACATAAAATTAATTTTGAATGGCACGTTGATCCTAGTATCACGAATTTTCTCGATCTTCAAGAATACGCGCACTGAACGGTGTCGCTTGGCTGCAGAACTGTTTTAGAGTTTAGACAGTCAGTGTTGCCAGTAGACGGTTTGTCGAGTTCACTGTTGGTGCAGCTCTCTGATGAGTTAGAGGTCGACTCAAGGAAAGGTTCGGAAGAAATCCATTAAATTCGTACAGATTTCTCGAAGAGTGGCGATACCTGCATTTTCTGTTAGTTTAACCGAAGTAAATCGACCTTCCCCTTTAAGGTAGGAGTCAAAATTCAAGTTTAACTGATTTTGCGATTCTTGGGGTCTGCTATGGCGATTTTACCTGTTCACTGAGGATGATGTTTAAAGAGTTGGGTAATTTTATTGGACCAAGAATATATTTGATAAACTAAAAAAATGTTTACGAAATTCAGGGTAAATTATACTCTGGGTAGATTACTGAGTGCATTGCAAGTTTTGAGTGTCCAGTTTGTTAACTGAACTGAGTGGACGAAAAACTTCATAGCCCGCGCACCATATTGCGCATGGCGCCACCTTCCTAGGACTAATGGCCGCCACGTGGCGCGCAATTCAAATAAGTAAGTTCCCGCGCCGCACCCTGTAATAGGTTTGACGTTTGGTATTGGCGAAATTCGTTGAGAAATAAATCATCCAACAATCTACGGCGCTCAAATCTTTTTGCAGCACGAATTAATGATTGTGAAATTTACTTAAGAAGGCGGATTATTGAAGGTGTAATTTTTTACTTGTTGCAGCCATAAAGAATGTTGGGTGTCGAGATTTGAATCTTGAAACCTATCTTTAAACTGTTGAACTGATTACAGAGCTTGTCTCGGAGACGTTTCGATGAAAATATAGAACGTGGATTTAAGTGGCGTTCAATTTAACATAACATAACATAGTGATGTCGGCGCTGGAGAGTAGGCCTGATGTAACTGTCGCCGATTCTTACTTTTCGTGCCTTGTTCACAGAAGATCTAAAATCGTGTCATTTGACCGGATCTTTTCTGGTCTGACGATAGTTTGAAATAGCTACTAGGCTTCCACCGGGTTCGATATGGTGCTATAGGCATTTCAAGTCTGAACATATATTTTTTCTATAGTTTTATCTATAGTCTGTTCTCGAATAGAAGATAGAAGATGATAGAAGATGATTATTTTTATTGAACTGATCATTGTACAACTAACGTTGCAGCCTACGAGTTCACAGCAGAGTTACTGAAAAGTCATAAAATGCAATTAGACTATTCAAATGAAATTATCGTCGTGCGGACGATATTGTCGGAAAAAATCGAAAAACAGGACCTATCAGGGGCAGAATATCGAGTTACCTTTTAGGTGAACTATAATACTTCCCTTTTCAAAACTTGTAAAGTTAATAATTATTCCGCGATAATCCGGCGCAGCTGAATCGGACATAGATATAGAAAAATAGTTTACTGGTATGCTTGGGCCTATGCTAAAACGTTGAAACGTGCTCATTCAATAAATATATTGCCTATAAATGCTTTCTATCTAAGTTGTTTTTTGGTTCTTTTATTTGAAAGCTCGTTTTTCCCTCTACATAAATTTTCCATTCATGCCTTCATATCTAGTTGATGTGAAACTGTGGTATTTTCTTAGCTAGGAATCTTTTTAAATGCTAACCTAAAATTAGTACGACGTGGCCCGAAAGCAGTAATAATTACTCCTGATTGAAGGATTGCTCCTGAAATTTTTGTTTGGATTTCGAAAACTAACTAAAATCATTGAATTTCCCTAATTGGCCTTTGCAACAAGCAAGTCAAATTAAGGTCCAATTTTCTTCAGAATTTTGATTGATTTAAAAAATATCAATAAATTTATATAAAAAAATTGTAACACAAATTAAGGAGCATTACTCGTTTTAATTAGTCATTGGATTAAATGAAATATTCTACTGCCCAAAAAATTCCTTAAAAACAGTGGCAGTGAATGATACCTCGTAATAGTTGCATTTACATAATTGAGTAATTCATAATTTTCGCTATACTCGTGCTATATTCTGGAAACTTTTGCCAGATTCAATCGATTGGGCACCTATGGTAACTACATCTCAGCATAATAAACTCGTGGGCAACATTGTAAAAATATTGCAATCGTTCCCAGCAATTGCATAAAAATACTTCTCCATTCACGCTACCAAGTCTGAAGCGTCAGTCGCGTATAGGAGGTTGTGAAGCGAGGTAAGCAGTGCTCTCTACTCTGTTTCTCATGCTAGTGACTCATGTTCAGACAAGTGTTCAGTGTGTAAAGCTGGTGAAGAACTAAACTAATAAGAACTCGACGTGAGTCACCATACTGCCTGTACCTTCCTCTCGCCGTCAAATTCTGATCAAATATGAACTGATTTCTCCTCTGATCTTGATCAATCAAACCACAACTGAGCACACTATAGGGCAGGCGTCGTGCATACACGAATCTGCCTTGGGAAGCGTTCGCGTCATATATACAATAAACAGTATTCACCACAACGCTTAATCTAAATCCATTCTTCTCAATTGCTAGAGTTTTCCGCTTCTGTGAGCAAGTTATTCATATGTCCTAGAGCCGCCCAACTAAAGTACGGTATTGGAACTAATATGTCGGCAGATTTTGAGTATGACAACGACAATTCGTGATAATTACTATTGTTTGACAAATATGGCTTGCGTAACTTGACGACATGTGGATACTTGTGCTGTTCCCTACAATTAAATGACAAATGATATACTTATGCTGTTCCCCACTTATACTCAAAATAATTTACTTAGTTTCGTGTGAATTTATATGACTACAAATGATTTCGCTTCTACATGAGAGGAAATAAAGAATGAGTGATCCATGTCGGAATTTATTGCAGAAAATTCAGTATGACGAACAAGATGAATTTGGGAAAGGCTGCCATCTTGATCTTTTTATTCACCACTGCTTTGCTCGTCAGAGCAACAACTGATAATGATGATGCCGAGGACCTACTAATCATTAAGCAGGAGGATGATGATTACGAGCATGGTGACCTGGCAAGAGTGTTAGCGCAAGGTGAGCGTCGTATTTTAAGAACTAAACAACTAAACTATAGTTATTCCTTAATTACCGGATGCTCTGAACTTCTTTGTAAAATTTATGTTCAAGCACACTTAATGATGAGATGGTTCAAACCACAATCACGGCTTCAGAGTTAGTCCAGCGCGCATATTATTTTATTGAATTATCATTTTCAAAATTGTGACCACCATGAAGCCTATAGGTTTAATATAATGCATATTATTTTGCGATCGCCGGACGAGGACGGCCGTTCGTTTTATTTCAAGTCGATACCTTTTTGAAGCTTATTTCAATTCCTTTTCATCGAAACAAGTATAGTCGCGCTCTTTGTGATCCACGGAAATGGTTCTTGGTAAAACGCCTGTCGTTAGGTAAAATTTCGATTCTGATAGTATAAAAAGTCAGCTTTCGTGTGCAGAAGTCTTGTCAATTTATGCACGTCAATATCTTTTCTTTTTCCGGTATATGACGTATCGTGTCCCCTGACCCTAACTGGGTTAGGATGACCCACACTATGGCAAAAAATGCGTAACTTTTGTACAAAAGCTCACATTTTTCTGAGATGCACGAATGCTTGCATAAAAAGAATGAAGTGAACAACTAATTAAATTAATAACATATGAACAATTTGAACAGTATTCCGGGCCAAATAAAGCAAATGTGTAACAACGAAAGTTGTTGTCGGACCAAAATCTTGTCGAGCATGACTGAAAATATCGTTGAGGTTTAAATTGTTGTCTAATATGAAGAAATGTTGATGATGTCGTTTAAAATGTTGCCGAATATTGTGAAATGTTGATGTTGTCGTTCAAAATGTTGCCGAATATGCAGAAATGTTGATGCTGTCGTTTAAAATGTTGCCGAATATGAAGAAATGTTGATGCTGTCGTTTAAAATGTTGCTGAATATGAAGAAATGTTGATGTTAAAATCTTGTCGAACATACATAAAATGTTGTTTAAATTGTTTTTCCTCTCGTCTTGCCCTCAGCGCGAGGTGACTTGCTGGAGGTGGAGGACCTGCCGCGGCGTTCGCTGCTGCAGGCGGCGGTGCTGGCGGCGGACCTCGTGGACGCGGACGGCGACGGCTTCTTAACGGCGACGGAGATGCGTGTGGCTCCTTAGCGCCGCGACGTGAGTGGCTCCTTAGCGCCGCGACGTGAGTGGCTGCTTAGCGCCGCGACGTGAGTGGCTGCCTTAGCGCCGCGACGTGAGTGGCTGCCTTAAGGTGCTTGTACACGGGGACAGTACTGGCGGCAAGTAGATCTGACAAATGCCAAATGTCTGCCGCTAAGTGTCTATCCCGCAAGTAAGCTCAGACACGAGGCAAATTTAAGGGGCCGTCGTGTCGGTATCTAGTCGTTACCGGTACGGCGGCACCTTAAACTTGTCTCGTGTCTAAGCTTACTTGCGGCAGAAACGACAAGCGGCAGACATTTGGCATTTGCCAGACCTACTAGCCGCCAGTACTGTCCCCGTGTACAGGCTCCTTAGCGCCGCGACGTGAGTGGGTGCATGCTACCGCTGGCGGTGCGTGCCAAGCGACCATGCAGCTGAATAAGATGTACTTCAAATTTCATTCATATTCTGGGTTGAAGGATAATCGAACATTTTGGCAAAACTTGATGGAGCTATGACTTCCATAACATATTTGATTGCTGGTTAACAATCCATCATTGCCAGCGAATGAAACAGAAAATCTGGCAACGTAAGTCGACATTAAATTTAGAAGAATTCGAGAACTTGCATTTGCGTGGCATAAATAGCTTGAATATCATGTATTATCATAGAATTAATTTGTATAGTGAAAGTCCCTAGAATCTAGACTCCGCTTTCAGAACCCACACTACCTAATTTTAGCCCAATTTTTCTTCTTGCAGGGTGCTACGTCAAAATCCCTGCAATCATTTCCGTAGATTTCCCCCTACATTCAATTACGCACCTGACTGAATTTTTAAGCTAGCATTTCTATCTATTCTTCAGACGCATTCGTGAGACAGACACAGCAGCCATTTTCAAAGAGATGGACGTGGACCAAGACAACAAAGTTTCATGGGAAGAGCTCGAGCAGTACCAGCATGACGCCGCTGACGATGGCACTGACGACGACACTGATGATGATGACGACTCCAATGACGTCGTAGTCTCTGCCAGGCTCCTGGAACTCAAACAACGGGTACTAATTAGCATTGTATTTCTGTATTACCAACATACACATTTTAGGTGAAGATATGTACGGTTTTAGATTTAGTTCAAGTTTTCTCCTTAGAAAGTAGAATAAATTTTTTATTTACTTGTCAATTTGATTATTTATTCAATTTCACCAAAATTATGTTTCCGAGCGTCATTGAAACGACGGTCCTGAAATAGCGGATTGGGTATATAGAGTCAATAATTGTTGGTCTATCTATGTGATTTTTGGTCAATAAACCATGAATTTTGCACATAAGGGAGTTGCATTTCATCTTTGGTTATAACTGTTATAAATTTATGAATTAATGACGCTTTTAATAATAACTAAGATATGCTATCGACTACTATCGTACTCCATTCTGAATAGTTTGAATGTTTCACCATGAAAAGAAACTCACTTCTTCTGCAGAAACTGCAGGAAGCTCGGGAGCTGTTCGACGCTGCCGACGCTGACGACGACAACTTTCTGAATGAGACCGAGCACCAGGCGTTCAGGTCGGTGCCGGATCGGGGGAGTGGAGTCATAATAAGAATAATAGCGGTTTCAGCGTTCATTAGGCCAATAGACCTGTGGCTGAACATCGTTGAATATTAACAGCTTGTTGCGGTCTCGAACATGTAACTCGCTGTTCCAATTTTGCGTTGCTTAACCGCCCGGCCTCCGCGCGGATTCGACTAAAATTGTCACCGGGAGCTGAAATCGAACCCATAGTTGACTGCTTCAATCCTGGTACTCTCTCCTGGTTACCACTGGAACAAAAATCTTAAACGGTACCAGAAGTTACGATATATGCCCAAGTACAAAGAGATTCAAGAGACGGCAAACTTGTAGAGATTACAAGCAAGGCATTTTTTCCAGAATTTACTTGTATCAACAACTGGCTCAATCCTTGCCGACATCTTATCTCCTCACAATGTCATACTCGTGTTCCTTTTTTACCTCAACCACATATCTCGTTCCCTTGCTTATAATAAAATTAATCTTGTGCGCTCACGATAGCGATAAACACACTTGTATGATATATTGTATATGTTCATGTGAGGTATACACGTATACTAAACTCACTTCGTTAACAATGAATATGGTCATGGGTTGTATGGCAGCTGGCCGATGCGAATGAACTTAATGTGAATTCTTTTCAGGCTTTTCCCAAATTTCTCATCCCAGTCTTCAATGCTGCTGGAGGTGCGATATGGCATTTAATGTGACATTTGTTCTGACTATCGCCTGAGGAACCATTACCTGTTTTAGGAAATATTAGTGCTAACTGCCTTCAGAGAGAAAACATGCTGTTTTATGAGGCGTATTACTGACTGCTGCCACAGGAACCATATACTGATTAATGAGGTGTTTGTGCTGGGCAGGGAGCCCGACCGGTTTGATCACACGCTGGAAGTTTTGTACCGGCAAACTATGGAACGTAAAGACACCGACGGTGACGGGAGCCTCAACAAGCAAGAATTCGTCACTAACGTTGGTGAGGAAGCAAATTTGGGCGAGCGGTGACCTTTACAAGACTTTGAGAAGTTTTTGTTTGATGAAAATCCGAGAAGAGTTATTTCGGCGCTAGGTTACAATGCTTATCGAGTCGACCTCAATGGGGAGAGGAAGACTAAGTCATTTAGAACCGGCGTGCATACTGAAGAAGTGATGCACTGCCTTACTTAGGTGCATCTGTGCTCTCTAAATGGTAATACTTGAATTTTTCCCACCAGAATATTTTCCCAATTATGCATGCTTACTCTGCCGCTTCGCCCACTGATGCTAACACTTCCTCTAACCCGCATTGAATTGGAACTGATCTCTTCCCCCTTAACCTCACCATTCACACAGACGTTGACGAGGACGCCCGGCCGGCTGAGTTTGAAGACGAGGATGATAACGACGATGGCCTGATGACGAAGGAGGAGCTGATGGCGTGGCTGCGTCACGACTATTCGTGAGTGGTTATAGTACTGACTAGTATTGACTATTCCTCCGTCCTGATTAATTCACTGGACAAAGCTTTAGTGGACAGTTGACAACTGATAGTATCGGTATTCATGAAAATTTCGCCTCCCAACATGCCAGAGTATAGTCAGGTATCCACAGTCTTGACTGTCTAAATCCCCCATAATCAGCAATGTACACAGTGTCAGACCTCAACAGGACGGAGGTCGAAGCAACTGTAGCCGGCCTGCTAGCTGCTGACAGCGACGGAGACCAGCGGTTGACTTTATCAGAACTGAAATCTGCTCCTCGGACGCTGCGCCGGCACCCGCTTCTGCTTGAGGGCGCTCGCCTTGTCAAAGCCCTTGACGAGCGCCGCGCCAGGGACGAGCTTTAGTTGAGCTTGAGTGCAGCAGAGCCAACTTTAGCTCGGTGTGTTTGCGTTTGTGTGTGATGTGTATGTTTGAAGAAACTCGCTTATATTTTAATCACTACCGAGTAAACATTTATCCTGTATGCGTTCAAGTCCAATTTTATCAATAAAGAAATAAATGTACAACATATATCTCAATCATTTGTTTTATTAAATATTGATGAATTTAGCATGTGATCAACTCTGTTCTGTATAACAAATAAAGGCTAAAGATGTGATCAATTTGTAAAGTTACATTTTTACATAATATCGCATAAATCCTTTTGTCTGGCAGAAGGCGCCAACCAGAACGTTCAATTATTCACCGATGCTCACAATGAGAATATTATTTTTGAGCTTTGATTTACTCCGCTCCCACAGTGGTACGTTGCTGATCTAATTCAACTGATGGTAAAGCATGCACGTTAATCTCGGTATTCCCAAGTGAAACCCTTGGGTATCAACGAGAGCTTACACGTGTGAAGGGAGCGAGAATCGATGGTGATTTACATTCTACCCTATATTGAATAGACGATTAACCTATTCTTTTTAACATAATGAGTCCATCGGTACCACTTGCTTTTCTATTCCCACTGCGCGAAGGGCTTCTTGTTGAAGAAAAAATTCCCGACTAGAAAGAGTAAAAATCCGGATTTTTATCGGTATGGATGTTTATTAAGTGCTTATCATTATAGATTCCTGATGCGCGCAAGCAGAAAAATAAATATTCTAAGGTCTCTAAGATCCATTTTTTTTCTAGAAGCTTCATTAAATTCTCTGAACGAGCTTGGTTTAAGAACTCGTTAGACAAATATTAGAAGGTGTTTAATCTGTGTAATGTCATAAAGCCTTCCCTAATTGTATCCAAACGAGTTGTGATGTACAAGAAAAGATTTTTTTTGGAGCGCCTACATAATAACATTGAAGGAAAAACCTTCCCTCTAACCTGTTGCCAGAATAAATATACCATCACATCTCCGTGATAAATATTTGTTGAAGTCCAGAGTTACGCTCACACATATATTATCAATCTCTTTTAATTTCTCTTATTACCATGTCCCGAAAAACACGCTATCAATTATTAACGAGGCTACTACAATCACTGGCTATTAAACCGCTTCAGTATTTAGGATCTAGTGAGAAAAATAGAGCTTATATTTTTGGGCTCTACAGGAAAATATTGCTATGAGAAGTTGGTCGACCCTCGAGATAAGAGTTGGGTAAAGATTGAAGCTATTATTTTCATGAAAATGAACGATTTCTTGATTTCATTTCAATACTATTTTATAACTGCAGGCAATTTTAATAAAGTATTTTCTCGGGATTGTCATTTTGAACCGACATTTTAATAATCTAAAGCCAACCTCCCTACGTGAAGTTGCATTTGTTATCAGATCTTTGTGACCATTTTCTGGAGCTGTTGTCTCGACGTCTCAAATCTCCGCTCCTCTATTTCGATTAACCTCGTGCAATACACTAACATGACTACACAGCACAAAAGAAACTTTCAATAGAATGTATCATGTCTGGATGTATCATGTCAATATATGATATGATACATCCAATATACATCATATGATATGATACATCAATATGATACATTCAATAGAATGTATCATGTCAAAGGCTCGAGAACAACTGATCGTAGATGTGTTCAGGCAAGGCGAACGGCCATCTATCCCTCCTCATTGCAGCACTGGAAATTCTTATAATGGCCAAATGATTCGCGATAGCTTAAAGAATCAATCTCCGGATAAAATTCATCCGGTAAATTTAAACAGATAGAATAAGGATTTGAGACCTTTTATTATTATGTGGATCGATTGTTTAATAACGTTAGATTGGTCGTTAGTTTATTATTATGGGCAAAGGGATCAATGTCTCAAAAGGAAACGATTTGTTTAGTGCCGTTTTTGTCCATTGCATTGTGCCCTTGTTTTCCGGGGTAATATTTCAGAGCAAGCAAATTTTATATATCGTTTTCCTCTGCGTATAATATTGCTTTTATTGCCGTTTGATAATGTTCTAAAAAAATTTTTGAAAGTATTTTCTGTCTTGTATATCTTGGTATTTCATAGCTTGAATATACAGTTAAAAATAATGAAAGCTAAACAGACTTTATTCTCCGTCCAAATTAACCGGTTTCAAACGCAAGTACCATTTTTTTAAATTAAAAATGGGATATAGAATTGCTTACTGCAAGCACACATGTTTTTATTGATTTTGTAGCATGGAAAAAGTGCAAACGTGATTACATTTTCACACAAAAGAAAAACTATTCAAAACTGCCTCCAGGTGGTTTGTCGTTTCTTGCCCACATCTGCATCACCTGCTGAAGAAAAACGTTTAACAATTATAAAAATTATATTTTCGGGCTGACAGACACATCACCACGGGGTTTTAATGTTCGCTTAAAAATTATTCATAAATAATGTGAGGTCTTTAGTTGTGCATGAACTCCATTTCTCGTAGGAGAATATACTCCTACGAAGTGCCGAAAAATCCTTGTATCGTACTACATAAAAAAATCAACAGCGCTATTACTAATCCATAATAAGCAATCATCATTAAACACAACTCAAGCATCGTTTTTAGCGTATTTTCTCCTTTATGGAAAAAATGCACTATTGTGCTTGCCATGTCCGTCTGTCTGTCCGTCCGTCTGTCTGTCTGTCCGTCCGTGACTTCACGTTTTCGTCGACGAGAAAATGCGCTCTCTTCACTCACTGCAGCGAGTACTGAGTTATATTTTTTAACGCGTACCCGCATTTGGGGATGGGCTCGGTGGTGAAGATAGCCTTGTAGCCTCGTTCTTCATTCTCCTGACTAGGTCGTTTCTTATAGTGGAAGATGAGCTCAGAGTTTTCACTTTTGAACTCAGTTCCTTCCTTAATTTCATCAGCGCAGAATCTGTTGGGAATTTAAAAAGAAATAATTGTATGCAATTTCTAACAAAAATCGAATACTGACAACTAAAAAATATCTAAAAAATGTCTAATCGTATTAACACATACATTATACATTAAAAATAATTCAATAAATTGCTTAAACCGTAAATTAATTCACGTCTATTTAAATTTCCTCCTTTCACCCTGGAATTTAGACTCGATGATAATAAAGTGGGCATGTACAGGCTTTGTCCTTTTTTCCTTTAATTGCGTGAGAAAACTGCCGTTTAGTTATATCATTCTAGACAGTGACAGCCGTACATTTCCCCGGCCGGCACGGAGGCGTCAGTGCGAATCTCTAGCGAGCCGGAGGCGCAAAGATTTTCTTGGTCACGTGGTTCGATGTTGAAGTACTTGAACTTGACCACGGCTCTCTGGCACTTGGGAGCGCGCATGACCTGGGTGTACCGTATTCCTGAAAAAAATTAAATTAAAATATTTGAATATACCTGTACATAAATTTTCAAAAATAGGATTCGTTGAAGTCCAGAGATTATTTATTGTTAATAATTTTCGTATTGTTTCCTCAATTCACCTAATAAGACATTTATAAATACGAGGCGTGTCCGTAAAATAAGTTCCACGAGCTGGCCCAGGCACTACGATCGTTTCTATGCGCGGCTAGGCATCAACGGCAGCTAGGTTTTTTGAGTTCCTAGCCGAAATGTTCATTTTCATCCAATTACGACTCACTAAGAAGGCGGGAACATATTTTCAGTATGCTGATACCACAAAACTAGCATTTAAACAATAGAGAGTGTGTATAACCATTAAAAAATCTCAACCGTTGTAACCATTACGTCATCAGACCAGTTAATCGCTGCAATAGAGAGCCTTATTGTATGACTACGTACGTTGCATGAATCGAATGCAATAACTGCTAGTCATCCCTATATATGATCAAGCATATGGTTGTTCCTCTGTAGCAACGCAATTTTTAAAACAAAATTTAAATCTCATTTAAACTCGGAATTATTATTATATATAAAAAATCTCGAATGCAATAAATTAAAACCAAACAAACAAACTTAGATTAAAACCAGTCCCTGCCTTCAAATTATTTCTTTAGTCAATATTTTCAGATCTTTGATTCAGTTTTATTTTCTAAATCATAGATTAGATACTGGAGGTTCCGCTGAAATAAACAATGCAAAAAACGCGAATATATTCCTATTGATATAGTTTGAGATAGTAGGGACTTCATTATGAAATTTGTAAATAAAATAATAATTTTTCCATCACAAAATATTCTCCAGCTTCATACAATAGGAAATACGTTCGGAAACGCACACAATAATAGATAATTAATTATACAAGCAAAGTATGAATTTATATGACCAGCCTACATACTATATACTATATACTATATACTATATACTATATACTATATACTATATACTATATACTATATACTATATACTATATACTATATATCGGAGCGATCTTCTTTACTAGGGCATCTGAGGGGAAATGTGAACGCTAAACAACGAAACATTCAAAGTCTTATGGTATAAAAAATGAAATTTATTTGTTCGTGAACTGAAATATGTTTTTGATCAGGTCCTAATTAAACCTCAATCGCAAAATTTCATCTCATAAGAGTTTATTAAGTCTATTTAACATAATGACACATTCATTTCTAATGTAAGTTGATAATTTTCATTTGTGACATCCATGTAAACAGGGGAAATATTTAGAGATACCTCTTAGCAATGGCCAGTGACAGTGAGATGTATCTATCTTGCATGACACAGCCAGCGTTTTTCGAGGGCGGAGATGATTTCACTTAACTGACTTAACTATGAGTTTAGTTAAGTTACGAATTGACAGATCCAAAAAATTACTTTCTTTAGGAACTAAAAATTCAAGGTATTAACGAGTTAGTAGCATATTTTGAAAGTGTGTTAAATTCCCATTATTTAGACAGCTGAAAGCGTACTGAGGGTTACGTTTTCCTACGGAAAACATTACTGGTGCTTCAGTAGAAAGTTCATGCACACAAGCCAGCGTATCGCGCCAAATGAACACCAGATATTGTGACACTAAATGTGGTGCAGCGAAGTCTGAGTCACAATATCTGGCAGCGAAGTCTGAGAGCGAGGTTTTCGCGACCATCGTGTAAAATCCTTGATCTGCCCAAAGCTCGGCCAGTCGCTACCCTCGAGCTTGTACTCTTTGTAATATGATATCCTAGCCAGACCTTTCTTCGCGGGAACTGGTCGCTTTCAGGTGGCCGAGGAATGGCCAACGGTCGACTATAACTAATTGGATAGGCCGACCACTGGCCACGTATTATTCTTCGCCCCTCATTGACTTCGCCTTTACCATGCCACCCGTTGTGAACTGACAGTTGGAGTAATTTACGACGTCTCTTTCCCCTCAAACATTGCACAACGTCTCCATTTGAGCAGCTAGTATGCGGGATTTTCCCTCCGCGTATCAGCAGACTCGATCTTTAAATAATAAGCTAAAATTTGCTGCCTGCGAGTCTCACCGTTGTAGCTCATGTCCAGGTTCTCGCAGTTTTTGCCCGACGTGCCCAAAGGGCAAGCGCAACTGCAGTCCTTCTTGGTGTAGCCGAAGTTCTTGCATGGTTCAGACTTCTTGCTGCACGCCGCTAGCCAGTCGCCTTACACAATGAGTGAACAAATCAATTAATTTAATATGCCCTCCTGATTTTCACGATTTTTATGGCTGAAAATGATCGCCTAATGAATTGACTGCGCTGTGGCATGCTCACTTATCATTTGTCAATTGGAAAGTGAATAACTTTATGTAGCATAACCCAATGTGGATAAATTTTTCTTATTCTATCTTTGACATCCTCAAATAAAATAGTGGTATAAATAAAAAATACTCCTATTTGTATGATTATATAACACTTCACCCTGTTTCCCCATATCAGGATGGCTATTTAACTCTATACATGGTATTTATTGTTTCGCAGGGCCATCTAGTTTAATAGAAATATTTCGAATTGAAATAGTAACAATATTAAATAATTTAATATAAAATCAGATAATTTAATAAAAAACTGTATAGTGTAATAAAAAAATTATTATGCATTTAAAAATTACTTTTTAAAGACTGCACTTCTAAAGAGGCTGGTGTCTCTGATGTTACACATGTATAATGGATTTCTTATTTTGTTTTTAAATATTGAATAAAAAATTTAATTTTTTTCTGTCAATTGATTCATGCATTGTCTCCGACTTGACGCGAGTTTGCAAAATTTCAAATCGATCGGATAGGTATAGAAGTGTGTTAAATATCGATTATAAGATTTGTAGTGGACAGACAAACAACAAGAAGTGAAGTTAAAGAAAAAAAGTGGTAATAATAATAATAACAAAAGCTACGAATCCACTTATTTAATTGAGAGTAGCCACTAATTAGTGTCTAATACATATTTTGTTTCACTGTTCATATTGTTCATCACGCTACTCATTAAATCATTTTCAATTAAAATCCGTAAATAGTGAGTAATGCATGTTTCCCGATTTCATGAAGAGCTCTACTCACAAAATTTTCCAGAGGAGAAAGCAGCCAGTTAAGCAGACATGCTATTTTTGCCAAATGGCTCCAATCCAGTCATGCCTATTTCTCTTAATTTGGTACTTTCTATTTACAGATACGTCCAGAAAACGAATTTCATTATATGGTCTCATCAGTTTTTAAGTATTCACATTATACTAACGAAAACCCTAAGATTGAAGAAATATGATTGAAGAGAATTCACTTGGACCGTGGATTGGAACAAAAGCCTGCCCAGCACACATATTATATTTGCCTCTGCATGGCTCATGTAGGAATTGACATTGCCCAGCATTGAACGGTCCTTACCTATGTCTAAATTGAACATTGAACGGTCCTTACCTATGCAATTGTACATGGTGTTCACAAGCAACAAGTTCATGTGGGAAATCCCTTCTGTGTTTCCAATAATTTCCTGAAAACGTGCGTCTTTAGTGAGCATCGCGCGCATGCCGTCTTTTGCTCCCGCCTGCACAAGTCCAAAATTAACAGTATTCAAACCACAAATGTTAAAGAATTTCATTACTCTATTAGACTAAAATATACCCAAAAACTTTCAAATTAAATACAGAATCGTTTAACTTATAAAACTAGTCTATTAGTACGATAAGAGAAGATCTTCATCTAATTTATAATCTACTAATCACTTTGAAATAATCCACATTTTTAAATACATGAAAGTTGATCTACATACACATTTAAATACATGAAAGTTATGAGCATCAATAATAAACGACATTCAATCCAAAAGACAGGTGTACAAGGCTTGAAACAAGGAGCGAAAGAAAGGATCATAATAAGGTGAATTTTCTTCAATTCGATCCATTATCAAGATAACCTGGGTAATTGCTGCATTTTTACCTAAATGCGACTTCTTTTAGCTTAAATTAACTTAGGTTATTCAATTTATGAAGATCACGTTCATGCAATTTGCACGAAGCTCATCATTTGAATATAGAAATTATTAAAATTTCAGAGAAGTTGCGTTTCAACATTTTTAATAAATTGTGATGCATTCATTATCATTAATTTGACCCAGGAAATTGGAAGAGTAAGTGATTCGATTTCAATGGGTTATTATTTTGAAGGCCATTATGTGTTAAGCAGAATGTCGGTGAACTGCAATCAAGTGCCCGATTCAATCATGAGCGTGAATTAATCAAGTTTAATTTTACGATAAGATTCGATGTCCACATAATTCTCACCCCAGCCTGATATTGCATGAGGGAAGAGTAGTCGTACGGCACGCCGAAGTTAATGGTATTTTCTTTTACAAACTGAATTTCATCGCCTGGCATTATGTTGTCCCAGATGACGGTGATGTGATCATCCCTACAAATTCAAACATGATCAATTGGGAGCACTCGGCACACTCATCTTTATGCCGCTACCACTTCGCTATAAGAGTGGTTAGCGCCCACTTCCACAGTCTACATGACCACACGTACCATAAGTACTTATATTATCAGTCTGCTTATATCGTAAGTTCACAAGGAATTTAAAAGCAAAGAAAACACCAAGCAAATTCACCATATCGATATTGAAAACGTTTCGGAGCCCAGTTCTGGACTCCGAAACGTTTTCAATATCGATATGGTGAATTGTCTTGGCATTTTCTTTGCTTTTAAATTCCTTGTGCACACGTACCATCGTTAGCATCACGCACCTTCGCATTTATCTCTACCCAACAATAAACCTTATCTCATGCTCGCTCGAGATCCCTGACTTAAATATTCAGCTAAAAAATTCACTGAAAAAGTTTTACCCATTGCAACTAATCTACCCCAAACTTTTCAACGCTACATAAAAAAAGTGTGACTGATGACGCTTTCATTGAAACACGGAGGCCCATGAATTTGTCTCTAGTGTTTTACAAATAATTTGACATCCTGCATGACACTCGTCATATTTCTGAGCTCAACAATTTTTTATGACAATCGTGAAGAAAAATAGGAAGCCACACTCCCCATGTTTCCAACCCACAGAACATCATACACCCGCAACTACTCTAACTATTTATATGCGCCCATCTTTTCCTCCTACAATCATTTACTTTTCTTTATCGTAGTTCTGGCCTTTATCGTCGTTCTCACGCACCTGTCGCTGCGGGACTGTTCGTGCTCAAGCCCCATTGAATGGCCTAACTCGTGGGTGACGCCTTTAAGCTGTAAAATGGTCAAAATGATTCCCCAATTAGTGATAAAGAATACGTCGGAAAAAAATCTTTCTGCGGATGTTTGAGAATGTCTTTTCCGACACGACGTTTAGCAGTATGTTATTGAAATAATAAAGCTCGAGTTGGCATCGTATCGCTAAGAGTATCAATCTCATCACCTGACATACTTTGACGTTTATGCTGTTCAACAGTAATCACTTAACTGCACGTCTCATATGCTGGTATCCAGTGTACGCGATAGAACAAAACTAACATGTAAAGCCGTGAGGTCTAAGAACTTCTTTAAACATGATTAATACATATAAATAAAAAAATACACAGCAGAAATAAGTTAAATCACATTTCATATATTGTTTTGAATAAACAAAAACTTTGTTCGTATTTGCATAAACTTTATTTTGTGATTCATGAAAAATATACACTTATTGAATTTTTCATTGCATATATGAGTCATTTTTATCGAAGTTTTTTATAAGAAAAGGATTCAACGGCAATATGCATTTAAATACGATGATTTCAAAATGGAATGAACCATATTATTAAACACGTGACCCTTTGCAGGCAACTTCCTATTTAGTTATCACGCTATACACTTCATTAAGTATACAGTGGCTCGCAAAAGTATTGGATGCATTGCAATTTTCTTCATATCTCAAGTTAAAGTGCGAGATTTTTTATAATATTTGGTCAGTATATTGCTAATGGTACTAGAAACATTATATAGAAGAAATATTGAAAAACATGCATTGTTTAGATTTTATTCAATAAATAGAAAAATTAACCCACGCAAAAGTATTGGGTACATGTTCAAAAATAAACAAAATTAACTTTTTTGAAGTACACAAGTTTCGCTTTTCACTTCAGACGTTCCACTGACCTCATAACGTTATCTATTTATAATTGGCCAATCAGAGCAGTTTGCTCTTGCTTACGAGATTTTGTGTTCCGGTGAAGATAATATTCAGCTTGTTGTTTAAAATCTAATTTTAAATGGCTAAAACTCGAGAGTTGGCGACAGATTTGCGTCAAAAGATCATAGATTGTCTCAAGAAACGGAAGAGGTATCGAATAATATCCATGGAGCCTGATCTATCATTGAGTACAGTTGGAAATATCATCAGAAAGCAATCATCCCGATGATATCATCCGAGCATGCTGTTGCTAACCTTCCAATTAAGACCTGGTCGTCCAAGGAAACTAACGGACGGTAATGCAAAGTGGATCAACAGAAGGTACAGAAGTACCCGTTTGTTGCTCGTGGTGAAATTAAAAGTGACCAGGAGGAATCTTAGATTGATGTAGAAAAGGACACAATCAGCAGAGCTCTAAATCGTACTGGTCCTATGTCAAGGTTCGATCAAATTCCTTTGGAAAGTTCAATTTTTGTTTCGTCCGACCAGGATTTGGTCCGATTTCCCTCCCAAATCTTGTGGTTTTCACGTGTCGGTACTTCAACAGAGGAATCTTTGTGAGGATCTTGATATAGGACCAGTACGATTTAAAGCTCTGCTGATTTGTGTCATTTTCTACATCAATCCAAGATTCCTCCAGGTCGTTTTTAATTTCACCACGGGCAACAAACGGGTTCTTCTGTACCTTTCTGTTAATCCACCTCGCATTACCGTCCGTTAGTTTCATTGAACGACCAGGTCTTGGAAGGTTACCAACAGCGCGCTCGGATGATATCATCAGGATGATTGCTTCCTGATGATATTTCCAGAGGTGGGCAGTAGCGCGCTACATGTAGCGGTAGCGGCGCTACATTTAAGCAATTGTAGCGGTAGCGGTAGCGCCCGCTACATATTTAAGTAGCGATTGGGAGCACTCGGCACACTCATCTTTATGCCGCTACCACTTCGCTATAAGAGTGGTTAGCGCCCACTTCCACAGTCTACATGACCACACGTACCATAAGTACTTATATTATCAGTCTGCTTATATCGTAAGTTCACAAGGAATTTAAAAGCAAAGAAAACACCAAGCAAATTCACCATATCGATATTGAAAACGTTTCGGAGCCCAGTTCTGGACTCCGAAACGTTTTCAATATCGATATGGTGAATTGTCTTGGCATTTTCTTTGCTTTTAAATTCCTTGTGCACACGTACCATCGTTAGCATCACGCACCTTCGCATTTATCTCTACCCAACAATAAACCTTATCTCATGCTCGCTCGAGATCCCTGACTTAAATATTCAGCTAAAAAATTCACTGAAAAAGTTTTACCCATTGCAACTAATCTACCCCAAACTTTTCAACGCTACATAAAAAAAGTGTGACTGATGACGCTTTCATTGAAACACGGAGGCCCATGAATTTGTCTCTAGTGTTTTACAAATAATTTGACATCCTGCATGACACTCGTCATATTTCTGAGCTCAACAATTTTTTATGACAATCGTGAAGAAAAATAGGAAGCCACACTCCCCATGTTTCCAACCCACAGAACATCATACACCCGCAACTACTCTAACTATTTATATGCGCCCATCTTTTCCTCCTACAATCATTTACTTTTCTTTATCGTAGTTCTGGCCTTTATCGTCGTTCTCACGCACCTGTCGCTGCGGGACTGTTCGTGCTCAAGCCCCATTGAATGGCCGAACTCGTGGGTGACGCCATTTACCTGTAAAATTGTCAAAATTATTCCACAATTAGTGATAAAGAATACGTCGGAAAAAAATCTTTCTGCGGATGTTTGAGAATGTCTTTTCCGACACGACGTTTAGCAGTATGTTATTGAAATAATAAAGCTCGAGTTGGCATCGTATCGCTAAGAGTATCAATCTCATCACCTAACATACTTTGACGTTTATGCTGTTCAACAGTAATCACTTAACTGCACGTCTCATATGCTGGTATCCAGTGTACGCGATAGAACAAAACTAACATGTAAAGCCGTGAGGTCTAAGAACTTCTTTAAACATGATTAATACATATAAATAAAAAAATACACAGCAGAAATAAGTTAAATCACATTTCATATATTGTTTTGAATAAACAAAAACTTTGTTCGTATTTGCATAAACTTTATTTTGTGATTCATGAAAAATATACACTTATTGAATTTTTCATTGCATATATGAGTCATTTTTTATCGAAGTTTCTTGATACAAAAGGGTTTCAACAGGCAATATGCATTTTAATACGATGATTTCAAAATGGAATGAACCATATTATTAAACACGTGACTCTTTACAGGCAACTTCCTATTTAGTTATCACGCTATAAACTTCATTAAATATAGGTGAAATAGTCCTAATATCATAAAACGTAGAATTTAAATCATGATGGACCGCATAATTAAATAGAATGCGAGTTGCTTCTTACGTTGGCAAAAAGTATAAGTATCAGAAACACCTCAACCCTTTGTTAGACCGCATAATTTTACAGCGTTTTGATCGTACGGAGTTCAGGTACAATTGTACTAACCCTGTCCGATAAAGATTAAAGATAAGAGTTTTTTTTGCAATGCACCAGGTAATTTCAGGTATAAAATTTCTCAATAATATTCTTCTGAATGAGGTAGCTTGTATTACATTATAAGAAGTTCAAAATTAAATGCTTTTCCTCTCAAATTCAGACCCATACATCTGAAAATTGCGTAGACATATAATAAAACGCTACTCACATTGCAACAAAAAGTTCTTCACATTTGTTACCTGGTCCTACGAACCATAAAGCTTTCAATTAACTCTTGCAACCACACCAACCAAACATTGTGCTTAAAATACGCATTTCAAAGCGGTACTCACATCACAAGCCTCCCCGGAGATACTGACAGTTGTGACATCGTTCTTTATGTAACCAACTAAGGAGTAACAGCCATCTCCTATACTGATATCCAAGTACTCTTTGTCTTTGCCCGATGCCTTGGGGAACTGAACGCACGTCTCAGACTCCCAGGCGCTGAACCCCAGCTTCAGCAGAGTCACGTTCAGATCAGCTGTAGGATTCAAGCAAAACGGTTGACTCGTTTATTTAATTAATGTGTGAAGCAACGATTTCTTAAGATTTATATTAGTCTTAGTGAGTTTACATGTCGATTTTTCAATTGTTGAAACACATTAGTTAATAGTGTAACACCTAGCAAAAGGAGATCCCTCCAAATTAATTAACAAACAACAGCAATTCAACTTAAGCTTCCCGGGAAAGTAATTTATGATACTAGAGAGATTCATTTCTTTCGCATCTCTCAACTTTAACCAGCGTATGTGATGGAGCTATACTGCTTAAAAAATTACGCCATTGAAGTTGTCTATAATGAGACAATTATTAGAAAGATCTGTGTGGTCTAATTGATTCGTGTAATGTTCTGATATTGAGCACCGTTGGTTTTAACTTTTTATTGAATTGCGCTGAAACTATTTGCAGATAGACGTCTAATTTTTTTTTAATTTAATATCCATAGGCGTACGTTTTTTTTAATAAATACATTTTTTTAAATAAATCGTTCGTGTGGTGCGTGTACTTCTTACGCAACTTTGTAGATTTCAATCTACTTTTAGTTCGATGTTGGCTCTCGACCTAACTGGTTGAAGGGAATATTTGGTACACGTTTTAATTAGGAATCATGTTGTGAATATTTACGAGTGATTTTGGATCTTATATGTGTTCAGGCACGGATTAAAGTATTTTACTAGTTTACCTCATGTTCAATCCTAATTTTATACGCAATTATATTACTCTACTTTGTTGGTTTGCTTTACAGGAACCGATTTTAATACGAAGTTAAGAGAAACTTGCGTATTCAAACCCTTCGAAGCAAATCCAAAATATAAATTTTTGACACCATCATTAGGAATTATATGTACTGTTGTGAAAAACGGTGAAAAAGACCTCCCTTGCACCCACATTTACTCACTATTGCACTGAAATGAAATCGTATCAACTCACGATTTGATATCTTGTAGGGAATTTTGACGACACCGTTGTTTTTCGGCCAAAGCCTTTCTTTAGAATTCAAGTTCCTAGCGAGCAAACTTTGCCACTGCGCCGCGGAGTAGAGGATGTCGCCGACCAAAACAGACCCGTCCGCTCGCGGAATCCCGCCCTTGTGAAATCAGACATATCAGTAACAGGTATAAAACTCTGTAGTGCATTTCCTCCTGCCATCTTGTAGCTTTTGGTAACTTCTTTAGCCAATTAATATATTTTGACAGGAAGACTATTGGGTCCTTAGTCCATAAGTGGAAGAGTACAGGGCGAATCACAACGAACCACAATCGGTTGTCACGGAATGCAAAACCTCAGTTTGTGTGAGAAAATTCGTTATGTAATGAAAGTGGGATAATTCGTTATGTAATGAAAGTGGGAAAATTCGTTATGTAATGAAAGTGGGAGAATTCGTTATGTAATGAAAGTGGGAGAATTCGTTATGAAATGTAAGTGGGAAAATTCGTTATGTAATGAAATGTTACAATAAATGTACTGTACCATCGGGGCAGCGGTGACGGCCGTAGCAACGCAGCAGAAACACAGCGCCAGCAGCGCTGGATGCGCCTTTCCTCGTGCCATATTGAACTCCTTCAGAGAAACTGGAAATGAAACAAATAGATTTTATTTATTTTATGGTAGGTTATCAGTTCTATTAACCATGATGACCAAACTCGTATACGATGCATTCACAAATTTAAATAGGCAGATTCAAATTAAAAATTTTCATACAAATCAATTATTAAACGCAGAATTAATTCTACAGCAATCTTTACAGCATTAATTCAATGCAAAACTGATGATATTAAGGATAAAATGTTGGCAAATGAACTAGGATGCATTTCTAAGATATCTTTTGCTAAGTAGTTAAAATTGTTGAGCAGCGTTAACTAAAAGTAGTACACAGTAAACTAAAGAGACCTTAAATGAAAATAAACTGATCAAAATGCTTAGCATTAGTATAACGTTGCAGGGCTACAAAAGTAACCGAATATTGACATTTTTAAATAAATTTCACATTGATAAATCATGAATCAATTACAGCCTAATTATAGTAAAATTTTACGGTCACATTGAAGTAACATTTTCAGAGAATAATGTTCTGAATTAAACTTTTTTTCTGAAGATTGTGGGCTCACGATTTCGATAACACATTACAAGCAGATCAAATTTAGTCTCACGAATTGAATATAAAGCTACTTTTTAGAAATCTAGAGGCGTTTTTACGATCCCAACGGCTTGTGAGGTGCTGATATATAATACTCCATGTGATAGTTTCCAAACATTGCTTTCAGGTAACAATATTAACTGATCGATCTGCTTGAAATTCACCTCATAATCGTGTATCAACAGTTCATACAAATAAAAAAGAACAAAAAATTATTAATTCGAAATTTTACATAGAGAATATAGGCGAACACTCTTTAATCGCTTATATTAAAGATATTCATGGAAGAATACGTATCGGCGTAGTGGATTGAAGACTATTAATTGGTGAATAATAAATTTGATATGTAAAAAAATCTGATGGGTCGATCAGCTCATCAAAAGTTCTCGTAAGGCCGTCGCAAATTTACCTATCCCATGCTTCCCCAATAATTTCTTTTGATAAATTCTTCCCCAATAATTAATTCAGTGACACAGCTATCTAGAATGCTATTTTTACAACACTTCTCTTTAACTTCACTTCATGTTTGTCTGTCTGTCTGTCTGTCTGTCTGTCTGCTACAAATCTTATAATCGACATTTAACACACTTTTACCTTTTCAACCGATCTGAAATTTGGCACACTTGCGTAAAGTTAAAGACAATGCATGAATCAATTGACAGAATGAATAATTTTATCAATTAAAAATTTTTTTTTTCATTATTAAAAAAAATTTTACAAATAATTTCGTCTTCCACAAATCTAATAATTCATATATGAGACAATTTGACCTGTCCAATTGATCTGAAATTTTGCACAATTGCATAAAGTCAGAGACAATGCATGAATCAATTGACAGAATAAATAATTTTGAAAATTTACAAAATTTTGATATCTCAAAAAATTTTGAAAAATAATTTTTTTTTTTTCAATATATGAAAATAAAATTAGAAATTCATTGTACATGTGTAACATCCAAGACACTGTATTGTTCAGAAGTGTGGTCTTTAAAAAGTATTTTTTAAACGCATATTATTTACAACACTTCTCTTTAACTTCACTTCTTGTTTGTTTGTTTGTCTGTCTGCTACCAATCATGTAATCGAAATTTAATACACTTCTACTTTTCCTATCGATCTGAAATTTTGCACACTTGTGTAAAGTTGGAGACAATGCATAAATCAAATGTCAAAATAAATGATTTTAAAAATTTTAAAAATTTGTTTTCAATATTAAAAAAATTGAAAAAGTAATTTTGTCAGCTACAAATCTTATAACTGATATTTGACACACTTTTACTAGTCTAATTGATCTGAAATTTTGCACACTTGTGTGAAGTCAGAGGCAATGCATGAATCAATTAATAGAATAAATAATTTTGAAAAAAATTTATATATTAAAAAAAATGAAAAATTAAATTTTTTAATATTCGAAAATTAAATGAGAAATTCATTGTACATCTGTAAGATTGGAGACACTGGATTCTTTGGAAGTGTTGTCTTTAAAAAGTAATTTTTAAAAGTATATTATTTGAAGACCAGAGTGCAAGTTTCATTTACTATTTATGCATTTTTTTTATTTTGCAAACTTGACTTTTATTTTCACTTGTACGTTCAGAATTTAGGTTTCCAGGCTAGAATTTATTTCATTTGTTCGTTGTTTCAAATAAGCATTAGCCATTATCAGTTAAAATTACCAGTTTGCAACAGATAAAAAAATATTTTGTTAGAACCATGATCTTCTCTGAAAATAATTTCGATATCTTGATAGATTTAATGATTTGTAAATTGAAACGGGAGAATCAGTGACCATTTTGTTCCATTTTATAAATTTAAGCGCTGAAAACCTTCATTTCAATGAACATAGTTTCTTCAAACAGTGGTATAATAATAATTACAAATTCTAATAAAATGTCCCTTGCAAGCCTTATCTGTGAACTTTTAAATCGAACTAAATATCTAAATTTAAAAAAAATTAACAAAACATCACACAAAAGTTAATAAAACACACTCTCTGGTCTTCAAAAAACTCACATTGGAGAAAAATTTCATCGTTACTGTCTGTACTAAAGATCTAGAAGATCTTTACTAAAAGATCTAGAAGTAAGATCTCTACTAAAAGATCTAGAAGTATACCACTCAGACTTTGCCGCTCACCTTGACTTGCTGGTAGAAGATAAAACCAACTTCTGAAGGCGGATCTGGTCACGCGCTCCATTTATACGCTGGGTTAGAAATGGGATGTGGATTTGGAACAGACAGGCTATGATGGAATGAACAAATAGGAAGAAGTGATTGACATGATTAGGAATATGCAACGGAAAAAACTGCAAAGTGTAAAAATTTTTACCAACATATGTATGGAGATGTATTGGAATGAGACTGATAATAATGGATACGAGAAATAAAGGAAAATAGAATTGAAACAACAATCGTAGTGGAAACTGGAAAATAACCTTCTGTTAAAAAACAATAATTCTAGTCCTTTTTATTATTTTTGTAATTTACTTTCAATTGCATGACACTGCCGCTTGCATTAATCATATACATATATTATATATTTCACATAAATTACATTCTTTTGCACATGAGTTGAAATTCTTTGTTTCTTTATATTGTTTGTTCAATTCATAACGTTTTCAACGTCGCAACGAATCGTTTACGCCTTCATAACCATCTAATGAAACGAATATTGTAGCTTTCGTAGTAAAGCTAATGCGAGAAATTCTCATGGATAGAACAATGCTTTAACAATAAAGACTGGGAGTTTGAAGCTGAAAACTACGATTGAAGTCCACATAATCGTACATGTTTTTGAAGACAGAATTTTTCACATCGAACCTCGCTATTTGCTTCCCTGTCAATTCTTTGTTGAAAGAAATCGATATATCATTTGGATCTCATTTGTTCTGCTACTGATTTATGATCAAGACTGTTGATCTGCGATTACTTGTCCTCACAGTGCTGGTCCAATTTTTTGGCCGGGTTCGTTTCGTATCGCTGGAATATCTTCACAATCAACATTGTAAGTGCAGTGTATTTGATCACAACACATATCACTATCGTGAGCAGCACGTGTATTGAGGAGACTACAAAGAAGAAAAATCCTCACAGTGCTGGTCCAATTTTCTGGCCGGGTTTGTTTCATATTGCTGGAATATTTTCTTAACCAACATTGTAAGTGCAGTGTATTTGATCACAACACATATCACTATCGTGAGCAACACGTGTATTGAGGAGACTACAAAGAAGAAAACCGTGGCAAGGATACAGAGTTGTTAAGGATATCTGTATAGCTAGGCTTAACTGAACGCTTAATTTCAAACCTTTCCAACCAAAACGGCTTCAAAACTGGAACTCAAAAATTTAAATGATGAAAAAATTCATATAGAAGCAATTTTTTATAATTATTTCCATTTTAACTTCAGACAACAGTTTTCCCTTTATTGAAATCCACCTTAGCCTTGCTGAGGTGAATTGTCACCTTAAATAAAGTTAAATGTAAATAAAGCTCATCTTCTACTTAAAGAAATGATATTTTAATCATCGAAGTCCTGAAAATAGGACTGAGAACTTCAAGATGCATAAAACAACCAATCGTTATACTCTATAATCGCGCATCATATGCTATAAGACATCACATTCATTTACTGAGGCCTGACATTGACAAGAATTTCGAGTCATTTTCTACACTTCCAAACCCGGGAGACCTAAATTATTATTTATATATTATTATTATTATTACCAATTTTATATCCTTGAAATTTCGAACAGTTACAATTTTCACGTAAAAATTGCGTGCACTTTTCATATTCAAAGGACAGAAAATTTAATTTATATTATACACAGACCCGAAGTGAAATTGATTTTGACTCTTAGAATTGACTAACCACGATATATAAGTTCCTTAAGTTTTGTCCGTACAGAAAATATCCAAGTATTAACTAAAATCTCAAATCAGTTTTTGGTTATCAAAATGAAAGCCGTCTTATAGAAACCCATGCAAGGATTTGTTGCTGAACCGTTTAACTTCTCTGGACCATATCAATATCTGCACACTCTTATACTCTGCAATTTGTATAGAATTTGTCGTCGACTAGAATACGATTCGCCGATAAACTTTGTTGTATTTTTAGATTATCTAAAAATTCATCTTAATTAGGATTAACAATTATTAAGTCATCATTAATTTCTTTTAATTTTAGTAGCATAAAATATTTCAGCAGTAAACTAACTTTTATTCGCAGATATTTGTTGAACTTTTACACATCAATAATTCAAAAAGACGGCGATCAAAAGTATATTTGCTGCATAATAACACTATAATAACTGTATGATCCATCACGACATTTAAAAATAATTTTAAAAATCTGTTTGAAAAGTGTCGTACTAAAACAGTTACTACTATTGAATGTTAATCGTTATATTAATTAATTTATGTGTACGCTGAATATCTCAACAAATTCGCAACGTGCGCAAATTAACATGGAACAGCAATGCAAATAGTTCACATTTGTTCATTTGATTTTAACCGATTAATTGTCAGATTTTTATAAAATATTATTGCTCGTGCTCTTAAAGATCAATGCTTGTTTGCAAAAAATTCAATTGAGAAAGCTCCTTTTTTATATGTTTACCGTGCATGTTAAACTCAGGTAACTTCTAGTTAGTTTCGTTGAAATATTTGTGAGTTATTAAAGGCTTTATTTGGATGATCTCTCCAAAAAATTTCACCATTTGAACGATTTTTTCTTCACAAAGTTCGCACTTCTTTGACAATAATTTATAAATGAATTTCTTTTTAAAGAAAAGGAAATACCCAGTCGAATCTGTAATGAAGCTCAATATTTCATAAAATAAAAAAAAATAGCTTCGATAAAAGTTCTCTTAAAGATCTTATAGAATAGTTCTCATATTCTTATCTTTAATCATTTCTAAGCAAGTCATCTGCTTATTGCATTATTCAGGTAACCATAAAATGTTAAAGTTATCAGATGAAATGTTATATTTATTATTCTTATACCAACAAGCTTAAAATACACNAGTTATCAGATGAAATGTTATATTTATTATTCTTATACCAACAAGCTTAAAATGCACGCTAATATACATTCCAATTTGCAAGGACTCAAAACTTTTCAGATGACGTTATTTCCACATAAAGTTTCATTCGTCGGTGTTTCTATTAACTTGAAAATGAATGTTGATACATTCGAAACGTCGTTAAATATATTATACATCCTTGCTGATACCTGCCTTTTGATCTGTTAAAGTCATCTGAAAAGTTTTGATTCCCTGTAAATTGGAATATAATGCATTCTCTGGTCATTACATTTTTCGTATGAGTTTCAGCAAGAAAATTCTGTCATCTAATGCTAAGCTAATACATTATTATACATGTCGATTTAAAATTCCTCATTTTGTTTTCAAAAGCATGCCATAAAGAAAATTTTCAAGGAAAAACCTGTCCTACTTTATTTCTCTTTTTAGCGCGTTCTCTCATGTATGGAAAAAAGGCGCTCTCGTGCTCGTCATGTCGGTACGTCCGTGACTCGGTCGTCATGTCCGTCCGTGACTTGTCCGTCCGTGACTTCATGTTTTCGTCGACAAGAAAATGCGCTCTCTGTCACTCACTGCAGTGAGTACTGAGTTATATTTTTTATTCTGTTGATCTATTCTTATCTCCAGGCTTATTGCATCTTGTCTGAATTTTTGTTAAAAATTTTCTAGCAAATCGGGTCTAGCTGACTCAAAAATTTCCTGTAGACCATGATGTTTGTTTTTTTTTAAATTGATGATCATTGTATTATAAGACCGTGTTTCTTATGCGTGTTTTTTTAAATACAATCGAGGCAGAATTTCTTGTGAATTCAGTAGAAATTGGCCCCTCAGAAATAATATGTCGCCGTTCAACAAGTGTTGGCTCGCTTATGACTCGTGCGTGGAAAACATCAGAACAACACGATCGTGAGTCATCTTTATTTCCCCCTTTTTGAGTGATAAAAAATCAGATGTATTAATCATAAACATATGTTATATTCTTTTCTGTTAAACATTATGCTCTAACATTCAGATTCAAACTTCAATAAATAGTTAAGCAAAAATCAATTCAAAACAATTATATTAACAATACAGTTTCTAAATCTCTAATACTTCTACGTCATAATAATTTGATGACAAGATTTATATCCGGAGATATACAAGATTTATATATATATATACACTGAGTAGGTTCCTAAAATTAGAAAATTAGGATACTATATAGCTTGATTTGACCTGTTAATTATTAACAATTCTTCTTGCGGAAATATTTCTGAAGAGCCACGAAGTTTTTTATTTCTTGACAAAATTTCGATCGACCAAATTCCTTCCATGATCTACAAAATTTCGAGCATGGAAAATCCGGTCAACCAAAAGAACCTACAAGCATTTCGATCCGGAATCGAACTCATGAATCATTCCTATTTCGCGTTGCTTCAGTCTTCTGACTCCAAATTTTTCCATTATTTCACATCGACGTTACACGCTGTCAAATAACTTGAGTTCTTTAGCTCAAATATCCCAACAATAATGCATGGGTAAACAATGGGCTAACTAATTGATTATATAATAAACATTTGCCTCCTCATGCGGAGATTTACCAAATGAAAAAATTAACATTCTGCCTAGGGTTTCGTGCTCTATGAGCAAGCCTGCATCACTTGCAGAGCGAGATGAGTATTGATGATTCAATTGTATGTTCTGTACGATTAGTTTGGATTCTCTATAAATGGTGAAGACGAAGATCATCTACAACCTCACAATCTGGGATAAACAAAAATCTGAAGCTGAGTAATAATCAATGTTATTTAAAGACTTTCATGCGTTTTCAATTTTAATCTGTTTGATTATGAGGTTAGAATGAGGTAATTTAGCATTTAGGTTTAGCAGGGCCGGAATGGCTAAGTGATTGAGATCATCAAAATTGCAGCAGCAAGTTGGGGTTCGAAACCTGCAACTAGTTGCGACAATTCTGATCTGGATGCCAGTCATATAATATAATATAATATAATATTATATTGTATTATATTATATTATATTATATTATATTATATTATATTGAATAATTAATTGCGCCGGATGAACTACACAAATGTGCCGAAAATTTTATTGCGTCACTTCAATAATTTTGCAGTACAAGGAGGAGGAAACTTCTTCGGAGGCCAAACTGAAA